GCGGGGAAGAGGGGAGGCAGCCCCACAACCCCGCACATACCCCCCAAAGACCGCCTGGCAACCGACATGCAATCATGATAGGGATGAGCGGGAGCCAAAGGAAACATTTAAAAACATTATGTGTTGTAGGAAGATTCCAGCTATCAAACTCGATAGCGCCGCACACGCGGCGTAAGAGCTAAGCTAAACTGACAAATCGTGAAAAGAAGAGTTCATATGTAAGACAGAATTTATTTACAAACTGGGTTTTATACTGGCAGAACAGCGGTGCATTGCGATGATACCGTGAGAAATCTTGCCGCCGCCGAAAAGCGCGTACCAGATGTAACTACATATAAGTTTGTATGACATAGTAAGTTTCGCATTTCAGGCGAAATGGACGCAGACGCGGAACTACCACCCAGCCAGCATCGAGCAAACTACAAGGCCAAAGATCAATATGTTTAAACTTGCTGCCATAAATTTAAAAGCAAAATTGCTGCAGATTCCGTAGCGCCAGCGACTCTCCCGCTCCCGCTCCCGCTCCCGCTCCCGCTCCCTTCCCGCCTATTTACTTTGGACAACGGCATGTGTATTCTCCCTTTCATGCATAATTAGGCAGCCACGGGTCTGTATGTACGTCTGTATGTACGTATACCTCATGCAGTTCAAACTTCCCCTTCCCCTTTCCCCCACCAGGCTTGCTGCCGCCTCATACCTCCTGTCGGAACTGGCCGCCAAGGCAGCGGCGGTGGCGGCCCGCGCCAAGAACACGCCTGCCTTCGCGCTCAGCGGTCCGGCGGCGGCGGCGGCCGCGACGGACCCCTCCTTGGAGCGCCTGGCTCCCGCTGATGTGGCGGCGGTGCTGGGAGGTCTCATGCCGTCTGTACGGAAGCACCTGGACTCGGCAACTGCGGCGCTAGCTGGTAGGAGGGACTTAGGGGGGCCGCCGCCGCCGCCGCCGCCGCAGCCATGGCCGTGGGTAGATACGCCCGGGTGTTGCGTTCGCTGTGTCGTACGGCGGCCGTATCCGTGTATCACGTGCCGCCAAGCTCCTTGCCACGTTTGCCGTACAACATTTTTACCGGTCGCCGTGAAATCCAAATTACATCCCATATCCACCAAATCCATAAATTCTACACACACTTGACACACATTTACACACACACATTTTCGGCCTATCGTTTCCCTCTTCCCCCCGATACACATCTTCCGCCCGCGTCGACACACATACATACATACATACATACATACATATACATACACGCACGACAGGTGCCCGCTTCCTCACCCCCGCGAACAACATCTACCTACAACCGACGAGCGACGGCGACGGCAAGCACGTGCTCGCGCACCTGGACGCCGTACAAGCGGCTCTGGAGCCAGCCGCTACTGCTGCGCATTACGTCATGGATATTTTGGAGCTGTTACGAATCTTCTTTGGTTCCTTCGTACCGCCTGGCGTCGGAGGAGGCGGAGGTCGCGGCCGCGGTACGGCGACGGCAGCGGCGGCGGCGCCACCGCCGCTATGGGCGCTGGTGGCGGTGCTGGTCTCCCTCGCAGCCAAGCCCGGAGTAGACGGTGTTCCTGGTACGTACCGTACGGCACTCCTTGCCGTCGTACACGGCCCTCCCCCCGCCCTCCCACACACCATGCGTCTATATAGACCTGCCGTACACCTGTGTGGTGCATATGGGTAGAAACATGCCGAGTTCTTGTACGATGTTCGTTTCGTGTCTTGTACGTGTTTTTTGGACAGGTTTGGTGACTGACGCAATGTACGACTGCACCCTCTCCTGGTCAGCTGATCCGTTGGGGGTGTCCATGTCTATTGTCTGTCTGTCTGCCTATCTGTCTGTCTGTCTGTCTATCTGTCTGCCTCCTCGTCTGTCTGTCCTCGTCTGTCTGTCTGTCTGTCTGTCTGTCTGTCTGTCTGTCTGTCTGTCTGTCTGTCTGTATGTCTGCAGACGCGGGGTTGAAACAGCTGGCGGATGCGGCTTCGGGAGCTCCGGGTGCGACTGAACGCGCCCTTAACACCGCACAGGTGCGTTCCCTGTCACTTGCCTGTCCGTCTGTCTGTCTGTCTGTCTATCTATCTGCATAGCATTGATTCCCCCACAAGGCTGTGTCTTCAACAAACAGATAAGATTCTAATTATGTACGGACAGCACGAAGTGCGACATGTACTGCAGATATGAAACGTGGTATTGCATTAAAACAAACTCCCAAATTGTTTGACTCGACAACCCTCCAACTGGGGAAACGTATCTGGTTGTATATCTGTATATCTGCTGTCCTGAGTAGTTTTAGGTACACACGTTATCCATCATGCCATGCGTATGTACGTCTGTATGTATATAGTACGTTACTTGTACGTTAATGTATCTATATGTATGTATATATGTATTCTCTTCTCTCCCCCACCGTCCCCCCCACCATCTCCCCCACCATCATCGTCATCGTCATCATCCCCCCCACCATCTCCCCCACCGTCCCCCCCACCATCATCATCATCATCATTCCCCCCACCATCACCACACGCAGGGGGAGGCACTATGCCAGCTCGCATGGACAGCCTTCCAGCAGCTCTCCTCGCAATGCCAGGGCCTAGGACCCTCTGTACCACAGGGACACGGAACGACCGGCCGACATAACAACAACAATAACAGTAACAGCCCTAAACCTGCACCTCCGGACGTGTGGCGGGAGCTGGCGTTGTTGCGCGCCGGCCGGGCTTTGCTCTCTAGTGTACGGCACCTGGCGGTGCCGTACGCAGCGGCCACCGTCAGCGACGAATGGCCCGCCGGCCTCCGCCGCCTCGCTAAGGCCCTCAGCCGCTGCGCTAATAAAGCGCTGGAGAATGACTGGTCGGGTTCTGGAGATGCCAGCAATAGCGGCGGCGGCGGCGGTGACGGGGATGATGACGGTGGCGGCGACGACGACGGCGCGGAGGACGCCGCTGAGCTGGCGGCGGCGGGACGCAGTGGCGGCGGCAGCGGCGGCAGTAGCTTCCGTTGGCGGGGCCAGGGGAAGTTGATTTTGGAGTTTTTGCGAAGTTTTGTGGAGTACTCTCCTCGCCCTCTCGACGTGCTGAAGAACTTGGTGACTCAGGCGATGGGGCAAGTGCCCGAGGGCGGCCAAGGCAAGGTGGGGACTGCCTGAGAGCTCCTCGGTGGTAGAACCGAAGGAGGTGAATGTGCGCACGCAAGCTTCTGTGAATGTACGTATGTATGTATATGTGTGTATATACCTCCCATCGAAAAACCGACGATCATCCCGCAGGCCAGCGGTGGCGGTCGCAGCGCCGCCGCCGCCGCGGCGGCGGCAGCGGTTTCGGAGCCCATTGCCGGCTACGCGTCTCTGAGTGCCGCCACCCTCCCCGCCTGGTATCGGGGGACGTTTGAGGCCTTGTTGGAGAGGTGGGGGGCTACGTGTGCTCGGATGAGGGTTTCGGAGCGTCGAGTGCCGGGGCAGGACGAGGTGAGAGCGAGGGATGGGGAGTTGGGTTTGGGGTGGTTGGGGATTGGTTTGCTGGTTGGTTGGTTGATTGGAGGTAGTTGGTTGAGTGACGTCCAGGGGAATTAAAGACCGGATATATCTCTTATCAGGTGCAGGTGAGGAGCACGGGTGTGTGAGGCAATAGCTTAAGAGGAATGCAGGGGACGGGGAAAGATCCTCCGTACGCGAGGTACGACACTGTATGTGCCTTGAGTTTGCAAAAAGAGAAAAACGCGCAAATCCCCAAGGCACGCTGTCAAGGCGTACGTACGTACATATGTGCGTGTGTCTGTGTGTCTGTCTGTGTGTCTGTCTGTCTGTCGCAGGAGGAGGAGTTGATGTCTGAGATGGTTTGCAGCTCTGAGGTGTTTTCCCGCCTGATGCAGCTCATTCGAAAGCACCCCGGCAAGAACCCGCTCATCACCACGGCCATCAAGTGTGGGGGAAAGTTTGTGGAGGTGAGGGGGGAGGGGGGAGGGTAGGGGTAGGTGGTGAGGGGGTTAGAATGCAGCCATACGTGGGTGCGGGTATGTGTGGGGGCGAGGAGGGTTTGTGATGTGGATGTGCTGCGAACCAGGACGTGCTCTTGAACGCGAACGGTTGCCGTTGCGGTTGTTCGTACTGGGGTCGGGTCGGTCCAGGCCTGAGCTTTGGACTTCGCCTCCTCACACAACAGAGACACACACCCATTCTCAATCTCTCCATCCCTCTCAACGCAAACCTGCACCCACTTGACGCCACTTTCTTCCTCTTCGCGGCCGAGCTTCATACGTAAAACACACACACACACACATTCTTGGCTCATATACCGCGGCCTGACTGCATCCCCGAGAAGTATACTCTCGGCTCTGGCCTACCAGAACAGGTATGCATGTACACCCACACACCCCATTCGCACATCCCACCCCACCCCCTCCTACACCCCCCCCGCACACCCATCCTACACCCGCCCACACACCCCTCCTCAGCCAGCTTAATAGTCCCTTTCAGCGGCATCTGCATGCGTTCTTGTCATTATCGTTCGCTGCTCACAACTTTCCCACCTCTCTGCCTCGCATGTGCCTCTGCCCGCTGCTTCTGCTGCCTGGCCAGGTGAGTCCAAAGGGAGGTTCGAGCTTTGTCGGTATATCGCGTTGGCGTCGGTCGGCTAGCCGGACTAGGATAGTCGGGCCGGTCGCGCGTTTTTTTGGGGGTTTGGGAGGAGCACTTGCATACCGACAGCTTTTCATTTCCAGCAAATCAGCTAGTTCTCCAGGCCAGCAGCAAACTCTATTCCAGCTTTACGACAGCAGTGCTTTACTACTTCTCCGCCGCCTCTACACCTACTTCTTTACGGCTTGGCATAACTGCTTTCTCTGCTTTTATAGTCCTGGCGGCTTAGGTAGGTAGTTTTTCCGACATCAGCTTCACTACGTCATCCCGAGGTCGCCGCACTTTAAGAACGCCTTTTGGTCAGTTCTACGTCTGGTACACTCTTGCCCTGGCAGCAGCTTCACTCGTTCGTGGTTCGTCTTTCCCCCCCACCTACACCCCACCCCACCCCCTCCTACACCCCCACCCCACCCCCCCTCCTACACCCCC